AACAGCATCGACTGCATCGTCATCGGTATTTGATAAGCAGCGCACTTGATATCCAACGGTGACCCAAAACAGCAACATTTTTTAGTTTGACCTGACCTGGAAGGTCAATGACTGATCTGAGAAGGTAAAACTGGGTATCATTGGATTCGTCTCTTCCCAAAGAATCTTTTTGGTCTTTACTGCTAAGCTCTATCTCCAACAGGAACGAAATGGCGCGGGAGGGTGGCAACCACCCCCCCCCCCCCCCCATGTGCGTTCTAGGATGGGAAAATGGCATGTGCGGGCGAGGGTTAAGGTCAGTGTCAGTTCAAGTGACCTCACTACATCAAAAGTTTCAATGTCTGCTAAAGCTACGCCGAGGGACCGATCGCTTTGAAACTTTCAGAGATTAATAAGAGCAACATCATGTACAAAATGTATATCATCGAATTTTGATATCGATGACCTAAGGTCAGGTCAATTTTGCGACCTCCCCATTGGGAGTCAATGGAAGAAATTTGAAAGTGGTCTTATTTAGACGGAAGTCATCATAAACACTCTAAAACACTGAATTACTACTTACTAGTATCTTTGACACACTGAACATGAAAATGGCTCCCTTGACCCCTTGTTATGCCCCTGAGGTCATCTCAGGTCACCAATGGTATCTGACTGTTTTTCGCGAATAACTTTGATAAGGGCATACTAGAGCGGTGAAAACATCTTAGGTGTGTTTGGCTCGACGATACGGATCGACTGATATGCAACTTGACCCTTACCGGTCAGGTCATGACCTTGACCTGAGGTCAAATTTTTAAGTTGATCTTTCAAGGTCAAGTGATAGTCGACACGTCTTGACGAGAGGAACACGATGCTAGTAAAAGAACGTTCGTGCAAGGTTTGAGTCAAAAGTTATTGCAGAAAAACGGTTTCCCGCCGCCCCCCCCCCCCCAAAAAAAATCGGCTATTTTGTTACTTTTAATCCCCTGCAGGCAAAACCGTTGACGGTAGGTCAAATCCGAGAAAATTACCCAGAAAGAGCGTCAATAGGGCTATCAAATGCGTTTTTCCGCGGCTGTGCAGCTTTATTAGCTTCCGAGCTGTGCGTCAATTTGTTGAAAATTGTCGACATCTGACTTACAAATCGGCGAATTTTGGCCTTCAATGACCTCTGGTGACCTGATCTTTGACCTGACCAAAAAAGTGACCGAAGTGATTTCTTCCTAATTTCCCACACTCTTTCGAACGCCGCCTTTTCCGTATCGCTACGTGGCCCAGGAGCCGAGTTAGAGAGGGTTGGGTGTTCACCCCCCCCCCCTCCCAGCAGGGCGTGGAATTCCAGGACCCCCAGCAGGGCGCGGGTTAAACTAATCTCGTGCAGGTCTGAGCCAAAAGGTATTACAGATAAACGTCCTCCGCAAAAACGTATATTTTGAGGGTAAAACGTTTATCTTAGGTCAAATCTGAGATAATTAATCAGAAAGAGCATAAAAAGAGCTATCGAATGCGCTTTGCTGCGGCGCTGTAGCTCAATCTGTTTCTAAATCCTGACTTTTGCGCCGTTTTGTCGAAAAAAATGTCAGATCGGCGAAGTTTGATTTTCGGTTGTCTCTGGGGACCTGACAACCGAAAATCAAACTCTTCGACCAGTTCGACCTAACCTTAAAATGATCTAAGTAGTTTTGTAATAGTTTTTGACGCTCTTTCGAACGCCGCTTACTGCGTGTCTCCACGTGGCCAACAAGCTGAGTTAGAAGTGGGTGTTCAAACACCCCCAGCAGGTTCAATAAAAAAAACGCGTACGCTGGGGGCGGCACCGCACTGCTAGGCGGGGGCAGCATCGCAATGGGCGGCACTGCGCTGAGGGGCACCACTTGCATTGAGGGGTAGCATTGTACGGTGAAGGGGCGGCGTCGTCCCATTGAGGGCGGTATCGCAACGAGTGGCGGTGGCACAAACGAGGCTGCCTCATAAGAAACGCTTGGCACATCCTAGCCCAGCTCGGCGACCCCTGGCTGCTGCATCTTGAAAAGGGCCCTTGGTGTCGATGAGAAAGCCCCATTGTCAAATAATTACCTAGCGTCAGTGGTTTCGGGGGGGGGGGGGCGCTATCGATCTTGAATGGGGCGGGGCGACTAAAGTCTCCGTTCAGATGGGCGTCCGTGACTACTGGAGGGCGCCAACGACCTCGCATAGGGCGAATGTGATCTTAGCCCTCGCCCGTATTGGTGTTTTTCCAGCCGCGAACGTATAAGGGGGGGGGTCCGTTGGACCCCCCCCCCTTGCCGTTTCGCCCCTGATCGAGCTAGAGCTTCGCGGAAAAAAACGAGCGTGTTGTCCGTGACGAGAGGAAGCCGATGATACCCAATTTTAAGGTCCTAGGTCATTGGTTGACCTTGCAGGTCAGGTCAATGACCCCAAAGGCGGGAAAATCGGGACCTGTTAGAACGTCGTAAAGTGTGGCTGCTATGGGGTTTTTCGGGGTGCTGATCACGAATATCATGTTAGTTTTGATCACAGTTGATGTCTTCATGTATTTAGGCCAGGTCGGGTCAGGTCAGGTCAGGTCAACCAGTAAGGGTATTCGTAGTAGGTGGCAACCGCCTCTGACAGCTTCGTAACATGTTACGAAGGCACCAAAACTACTTCGTAAATGTTCATATGGTTGCTAAATTCGAATTCAGCTCCAAAAACTGGCCTAGAAACATGTAAAACTCGAAAAAGTGAACCGAGGTCATCAAAGGTCAATGACCTGACCTGACCTTCAGGTGACCTTGACACCCACCCTAATGCATGGGGGCAACATCATATCACATGTTTGAACGCTTGAAACCACGAAAAGACTGCAAACGCGCGGCTAATGCGAGCCGAAGTACGCCGAATCGCGATTCCAGCCAAACATGGTTTCGAAAAGTAGGTCACAGGTCAAAGGTCATTTGGGTCAGGGTCATGAAATTTTCAGGGTAGGTGTGAAATTGATGAACGCGAGGGTACTGAAAGTTTCGTCGTGATCGGCCGCTTTTTACAAGAGTTATTCGCGAAAAACCATGGGGGGGTCCGTTCGACCCCCCCCCCCCCCTATACGGGCGAGGGTTAAGAAGGGCACCGGGTGCTCTAGATGGGTGCGATGCTTGGATGGGTCTCTGCTGCATTCAGTAGGGCGTCGGACGCTCTGGAGGGGCGCCATTGATCTCGGATGGTTCGACTGGGATTTTCAGAGGGACACCAGTAGTTTTCAGAGGGGCGCCATTGATCTAGGATGGACCGACTGAAGTCCCGGTTCAGATGGGCGCCAATGGCTCTTGAGGGGCGCCAGCGACCTCGGATTGATGGTGCGACTGTGATTTTTAGAAGGGCGTTGAAGGCGCCATTGGGCATGGATGGGGGCCACTGTTGCCTTCAGCAGGGCGCCGGACGCTCTTGATGGGCGCCTTGAGCTTGTGTGGGGCGACTGCAGTCTCAAGGGGCGTTGTCTTGGATGGGGCGAATGTGAGTCTCAGATGGGCGCCAGGTGGTTTAGAGGGGCGCCATCAACCTTTCATGGGGCGACTGCTCCGTTCAGGTGGGTGCCAGCGACTCTACAGGGGCGCCATCGAACCTGGGGGTTCGGAATTTCTGGTTTCCGGAGGGGCGCCCTTCATAATTGGGGGCTCAGGTCCTATTTCGGGGTGCCCTGGAGAACATTGGGGTGTCCAGGCACCCCCAAAGAGATATTGAGTTCGATCCCTGTCTGCACATCACTTTTTAATTCATGTTCAAAGTCAAAGTCAAAGTCAAAGTCATTTATTAGAATTCTTCCACGGGGTGGGTATTAAGAATCCGGTCAGGAATGTGACATGGTGACATAAGAGCTAAATGAGACCCAGGTAAAAATATATGATACTGATACAATGGCAAAAGCTACGTTAAAACACATCGACGATTACATTAAAACACTCGCGAACGCATCATCCGCATGTAGGAAGTTGACATCAGCAGGTTGACATTCTAAAATCAGGTGCCTGTGGCGGTGTCCTTCGCATTCCACGATGCTGCCGCTCTATATGCAAACTCCCGCTGAGTTCTTGCGAGCCGCCACCTCGGGAGCTGCAACTTCCCGGCTGCTACCGCGCGAATGTCACGTGACGACACTTCGGCCCGGCGGGTGAACATGGCCGACATCGCTGGGGGACATTGGTCATTATACAGGGCTCTCTGGACGTGAACATGATCATGGCGGCGCAGCATCACATTCACCCTCTCCCAACCAAGCGACTCCAACGCCGGCGATATATGCTCGGACCGTTGCGTCCCGGTCACAAGTCTGGCGGCGAAGTTCATCGTCTTTTGGACGCGCTGCATTTGACACTTGGCGGCTCCTCCCCAGACGGACAGGCAATACTGAATGTGTGGGAACACGTGGGCTTGGACTAGGAGTTTAAGGACGTCAGGTGTGAGGTGGTGCCGGATTCTGTGGGGGGATGCGAGGATGGAGTTGCAGCGACGCACAACCATGGTTATGTGGGGATCCCACGTCAGGTGTCGGTCGAGCAGCACACCCAAAATTTTGACGGTCTGACTTGGCCGAATGTCGTTACCGGAGAGTGAGACGTAGAATGACTCGGTCTTTTTTAGAGTTCCCTGTAAAACGGCATCAGCCTATTCGGCGCTAATTGGGGCGCCATCTGGGCGGCTGGGCGGAAAGGGGGGGGCCATGGCCCCCATGCCCCCCCTGTATACGCCACTGCAGGGAGCGCAGTATCCGCCGTGGGTACGGGTGCCAGAAGTTATTGTGTGGCAAGAACCAAAGAACCTGTCAGTCGAGTGGGTATAGGAGTCTAGGACAAACGTTCAAGAAGGCAAGGACGAATAAATGCTTAAATCAGATGAAACTATGATCAGAATTCAGAGGTTTTGAAAAATATATGTTATCGCAGGATGGCATCAAACTATTTTGCATTACTTTTCACATTGTTCTATTTTGTGTCTAGGCAAATGAAAAAAGAACGCCTATATGACCATTATTCATTATGCTTTCCCAGGGAGCGGATAGACCAGTTCATCGACCTGAACAAGGCTCTAACGCTGAGGATGTTCGGAGAGGAGCCCCCTGCCGAGGTCACCACCGGCCCGCGACCCAGTGACGTCACCATGGCTCCGCCGCCCAGTGACGTCACCACCAGGAACGTCAGCATGGCCGGCAGTATGATGCCGAATACCATGCCGGGGATGCGGAGATTCCACACCGTACAGCGGGTCCACTACTCCACCCGAACGGTGAGTCCACTACTCCACAGTCCACACGGTACAGCGGGTCCACTACTCCACACGGACGGTGAGTCCACTACTCCTAAACTAATTTCAGAAGAGAAAAATTGTTATATTTGATCAAATAACCACATTAAGAAATCATGACTTTGTCCCTTTGCACGAAAAAAGCAAATCAGCCAGTCACGTAAGTCGCCATTTGAAACATAGTTCCAGCATTCCTTTCCGTATTTAGGTGACCTTTGCGCTACCTCTTCACGCTCCAAAATAAGCCTGCAACATGGCACCCCAGTTTTAGGCGAATTATAATTCCTGATGCGTCTCATCCCTTCTCAGCATTATAAGCGGCCCGACCCACCCCGTAAAGCCTGACCGTTGCGTAAAGCGGTGTCGAGCTCAGTGTTCACCGCGATACTTGTGCTCGCTAAGGTTCATGCAATGTCTCCGCCGTGAGAATCGCGGATTTCCAGCGGCCGATTTCATAAAACGGCAAAAAATACGACGACGTTCAGTTTTGCATAAAAATCTCGTATACGCATTTGCATTTTGCATTCAAATCATGTAGTTGCAATTTACACCACAACGGTTTTATAAAGCAATTGCGGATATAACTAACTAGGTATATGAAGTTAATAACTACGATTTAGGTAGTCGATGTAGTACAAAAGTTAATAAAAAAAAACGAAAGCCTACAACTGGCACATCACATGCCCTCCGATCCCAATCAATCCACCCTCTTCTAAACGGTGTGGTTAGGGCGTTAAGCACACTTTGATGTATTTTATGGACGTACTATCAAGAGTTAGTTATCGGCAACCGGTAGTGGTTTTGTCATGTGTTGTTTTCTCCGTATCGCTCAACCAGGCTCAATACCAAACAATATGAGGCGCGCATAGTGCATAGTGCATATACCTCACACAATGTTCCACACTCCACAGCCTTGCATGTCCGGATGTTAGCACACTGCCTGACAATTCTAACGTGTACCTACCATGGCCGTTATTTATGCGTTTTGAATAAAGTCTCCCACTTAACACGAGGTCCAGTAATCAGATCTAATCACTCGAAATGTCCTTTTTTTAACTAAATGTCGGTAAATTGATGAGTTTAAAGCCAGTATAAAGGCCTCTTTATCTACAACCTGCTAAGGAAACAGCAATATAATTTAAAACGAGCTAAGTATTTTGCCCAGAGCCCTAAAAGACAACTCGACTCTTTACTCGTTAACTTAGGAAATATCAGAAGATTTACCGTCATTAGGTAGCTTTCTTTCAAATATAAAAGGTGGTACCGAGCAGCGTACTTTATCACTTATTTCATTTGAACCAATAGCCCAATTTCGGCATTTATATAGATGACTTCTTATGCCCTAGTAATATGTCATCACAAACATGACTCAAATTTATTCTTACGAGCCCACTTTCCTTGTTCACGTGCCGACGGCATCTTGCCCTGAAGATTTGGCCCGATTCCACTGTCGACTTTTCTGTGGCAGTTTCAGGCCAGGGTTGTGACAATCCTAACAGCAGAGTCGCCACATAATCTGTCGTGTAAGCCCGTAGCTTATCCCATCCTGTACGGGTGACCAGGGACAGGCTTGAGTCAGCCTTACCTGCCGGTTGAACGAAGCGGCAACTGGCGGATCAACACGTGACAAACGTGTCATCCTCGGGTGCAGCGTAATAAGAAAAAAGGAAATCACCGGGTCAAGACGGTAGTGCGCCTTTTCCAAATGTCCCATGAACGATAGTGAAAGTTACGACTCACGACAACCCTGTATTTTAGAGATTACAGGGTTGTCGTGTAATATCACCAGCTTTTCCATTCATCTCATGGTCGTGTTTCCTGTTACGACCTTGCTCCAGCACCGAACAGATCATTGGTCAACGCTTGTGGCACGATACCGCGGGCGGTTACGAAGTGCCATTTTACGTTGCCTTGAAGGAAAGTAATCGGAATGTTGTGATATAGATATTGGTGATAAACAAATAATGATCCAAAAAGCATCATAATTTGAAGAACCCACGACACCGTACGTCAGAGCTCTGTTCTCCACCGAGACGAGCCAAGCCTGGTCCCTGCTGTGCGCCAGATCGCAGTCCCCTACATTATTGTCTCGTGCATCTGATTGTAAAATGTTTTAAGTGCAATCCTTAGAAGTAGTTTGTAAACAAAGAGATAAACAAATAAGGATTAAAGTTAGTTAAATATGGACACGGAGCACTGGCCATCAGCTCACTTAGCATGATTGCTGTTGTTGGACCACAACCCGCACGCCACTCCCACTGTTTCTCAATATCCTGTTGTTTTACCACACCCCGCACGCCACTCCCACTGTTTCTCAATCTCCTGTTGTTGGACCACACCCCGCACGCCACTCCCACTGTTTCTCAATCTCCTGTTGTTGGACCACACCCCGCACACCACTCCCACTGTTTCTCAATCTCCTGTTGTTGGACCACACCCCGCACGCCACTCCCACTGTTTCTCCATCTCCTGTTGTTGGACCACACCCCGCACGCCACTCCCACTGTTTCTCAATATCCTGTTGTTTTACCACACCCCGCACGCCACTCCCACTGTTTCTCAATTTCCTGTTGTTGGACCACACCCCGCACGCCACTCCCACTGTTTCTCAATATCCTGTTGTTTTACCACACCCCGCACGCCACTCCCACTGTTTCTCAATCTCCTGTTGTTGGACCACAACCCCGCACGCCACTCCCACTGTTTCTCAATCTCCTGTTGTTGTTGGACCACACCCCACACGCCACTCCCACTGTTTCTCAATCTCCTGTTGTTGTTGGACCACACCCCACACGCCACTCCCACTGTTTCTCAATCTCCTGTTGTTGTTGGACCACACCCCACACGCCACTCCCACTGTTTCTCAATCTCTCCCTGCGTCCGTCTAAGCGCTACCTCTGAGCGCGTCAGCTGACCTTTTACACAGACGCGGCGGTTTCAAAGCCATGCGGCCGCGGACCGGAGAGATCATCCTCTGAGAGACACTCGGCGCTGCACATAGCAAGAGCTTGCCGGCGGGTGATTTTTACCGCCGCTGGTTTTTACCAGAACCTGCATTACGTGACGTCAGTCGTCAGTTGGGTCTGCAACTGTGGTGAGAACCATTGTGAGAACCATTGTGAGAACGGCAGTGACTCAACGGCGGAGGCGAGACTCTCAGAGAAGTTCTTAGTCGGTCTTTTATGTTGACACGCGTAATATTGGTGTTAAATTGGCCCCTTCAACAATCCTTCCAAATGGTCCGATTTGTTTTCGAATTTCCTCTCGAGAATGAAGCGAGGTAGAAAACAAAAAATTGGTCAGGAGAAAACTTGCCATTTATTGGGTGGAAACCAACAGCTCATGTCACTGTTCGGTGCCTTTGTCAGCGCGGAAAATCGACAGCGCTGACATACCTACATTGGCATTTACCTATGAATTATCCATGGCAAAACTGCAGGCATTTCCTTCGCAACTTCTTCTTTTTCGTTGTCACTTTGACGTCATATAGGTAACCTGTCGTTTCCAGACATTGCCTTATGACGTCATATCTGTCATTTTTTTCAGGCATGTCCCTAATGACGTCATATGTGTTTTTTCACACATTTCTCTAATGACGTCATGTCCGTCTTTTTCTCAGTCGTGGCGCGGCAGGCGGTCAGCGAACGAGACGGTGGCGCCACGGGCGGCGGGACGGCGAACTAAGCGGGATGATCCGATCCCTGCGCCGCCGACTATTGACAAAAACAGCGAACACAGGTGGGTCCGGTATGGGTAGCGAAACAACAGCCTTCACCAGGCGCAAGCTGCATATCCTTCAGGAATGGTTAATTTGGCTCAGAATGTACGAGATGATGGATTGCTTAGTGTTAGCGTTGACTCGATCTCCCGATAAAACATTATGAATGTGTAGGTAGGTAATTTATTCTCAAATAGGGTACATTCGATTCGGGAATGTATGAAGGTCACCGGCGGGGAAAACCGATTTGTGGGGAATGCATTGTATGGGATGTTATAATGTTACTGTAAAAAAAAAAACTCACTGAGGCGCTAAAGCACTGCAGAGTCAGCGAGCCTGGTGCACCTGTCCTTTCGAAAACAGAACGCATAAGTGACATTAAATTTAGTTATGGAATGGATGTAATGCTCGGCTTGAATGACTTCTGGCAACGGTAACGTCGACCAATTACCATAAAAATAGATCCATCGCCGAGATTCGAACCCGCGACTGAGCGGTCTGCGCACATCTCTGCTGCAGGGTGGACAGCTGCGAATCGCGGATGGAGATAATGACGCCCTTCTGGGCGGAGAACTCTGCAAAGGAGGTGCGAGTGATCGTCAACACGAAAAACTTCCCGCAGGCGATCCGCGTCGAAATCTGCACGTGAGTACTGAGTCAATATTGAGCCCAGTGTGAACTAGCCTCTGTGGCCTTTGTGAAATGAACCAGAGGCTCGAGCGCAAGTTGCATTCAACTGTCAAAAGGTTGGGTCACTGAGCACAAGGTTGGTCCAGGTTGTACTCATTGTAGTGACTTCCTGAGCCCGATTTGGGCCGAACACGGCAGACGAAATTTGTGTACCACGATAAAGAACGCACTACTATACCAGATCTTCCACAACAACAAACGCACAACTGTCTCTTCGTGCCTTTTTAGCTCTTTGTTGTCCATATCGCTGTCTGTCGTCTACATTGTTGTGTTCTAATCTCTTTTTCAGCCGTCCCACGACCAGCTACTGCAGCGGAAACTATCTGTGTGAGCAGAAGTACACCAATCACAGGCTGTTTTCTTTTTCAGCCGTCCCACGACCAGCTACTGCCGCGGAAACTGTCTGTGTGAGCAGAAGTACACCTGGTACAGACTGCTGGCCTACGACCCGGATAACGACTGTAAGGGCATCTTCATCGACTGGTTCCTGTACCCGTCCTGCTGTGCCTGCCGCTGCAAACCCTGACAACTGTAAACGCCGGCCACTGGCCAGCGTGCGCGAGGGTGTGTGTGTGTGTCATGTGTGTGTGGGTGGGTGGGTGAAGTTTGTAATAAAGGACAGAGGTCGTGTAATTGAATGGCGGTGTGTTTGTGCGATGGAAACTGGGGCGGCAATAGTTCTCGACGTTACAGCACACAGTGCAGAATGATGTAGGATGAAATAGTGATAAACGGAAGGCAATAATGCATACGACTCAACATAGGGCTCGATGTGTGTTACTGCATGACGAGACGAGGTATATGTACTAACGAAGCATGAAAGACGATTAATGCTATGCAAGAAGTCAGGAATAACGGCATAGTTTAACGTTGGTTTTGTGCCAGCGCGCACAATGTCGCCTAAACTGTCTGTCGGCATCAGACCCCTTTCAGCCCTGTGAGTCTTGGTATCAGATCAGACCAATTGAGTCTGACACTACACTGGTTGGCATCGGCATCGGCACTGGTGTCAACTGTCACTGGTCTGGCACGCCTGTTCCGCCCCCACCCCCGAAACGCTGGACGAGTGCACAGTGGGGATTTTTCCGATCTAGCGCCTATTAATTCAAAAAATCTTTTTTGGATTTTTGTTTATTTTTTGTGTCAGTAGGGCTAAGAAATGTCTGAATTTTTCATATATGGCATTGTTTTATCTGTATGTCCACAGCAAAACTAGGAAAAATGCGCCTAAAGTTCACACTCATGCGTGATTACTCAATGGGCTCAGCAAGGCCCGAAAGTATAGCTCAATTTCATTGTCCTGTCCTGTTGGTTTTAATCTTGCGTGGTCTTAAAGTTGCATATCGTCTGAAAGGCACCTTTATTAGGAATGGAATGGCAAACAGAAAGCATGCCACAACCTTACTAAGGTCACAAAAATGCCCTTTACAAAAAACCCTTACAGACACCATATTGAAGGAATGGTATTCTAAATAAATGTAGGAAATCAACAATGTTCTCCACACTTTTCCACTCCGAAATATATCCTATCGAATTCGCCACTTTCTTCTGCACAAGACAACGCCTAGTTTGGCTGCCGAAACTTACCTGAACACGGAATATTCACACTAGAGTATCTTAACACCCCACTCGAGGAGCGCTAGGGCAAACAGCACGATATAGGTATGTTCCGGACATAGGCGAATAATTTTACTTCGTGATTTATATGATGCATATTTTCTGAGACACATTCATTAGGAATAGGATGACAAGCGTAAATTATACATACCGTAACCTTATTAAAGGGACCCTCCCACCTTGACATTAGTTTTGAGTTGAGATAGCCAAGTTTGCGGCCAGGCTCAGAAACCACCATTTATCCTGGTCGCAACCCCCGCAGCTTTATGGTGTTCAAGAAATTTCTTCCCTTTACTTGCAGGGTGGGACCAGCGTGGTCCCTATCTCTTAACCATTACGGGAATCTGATGACGTCATCAGGCTTTCGAACGTCCGTTAAATGTTTGACTAAAACGTTTTGTAGCACGCGGTGGTATATGCTGCTTTGCGCGCAACAAATGTCGCACTTTCAAATAAAGTCGCTAGGAGCAGCGGAGATCCCAAAAAGTAAACAAAAGTAAAAGTCTAATATCTTGAAAACCGGTCAATATTTTTCGATGAAATTTGGTAGATATTCGTTTTTGCTCTTTCTGAACCGAGCGACATCACTTTCATGCCAATCCATTAACTTTTTTTGAAGGTGGGAGGGTCCCTGTAACCATCGCACTTGTGGGGAGGGGGAGGGGGAAGGGGTCGGATAAAACCCCATGGTTTTCCGCAAATTACTCGCGCAAAAAGCGGCCGATCGCGCCGAAACTTTCGGTACCCTCGAGATAATCAATTTTACATCTAACCTAAAAATTTCATGACTGACCCAACTGACCTTTGACCTGTGGCATATTTCTCGAGACCATGTTTGGCCGGAATCGCGATTCGGCGTATGCCAGCTCACATTATCCGCGGTTTCCAGTCTTTTTGTGGTTTTAAACGTTCAAATATGTGAAATGATGTTGGTGCCATGCATAATGGTGGGTGTCAAGGTCACGTGAAGGTCAAGTCAAGGTCATTGACCTTTTGATGACCTTGGTTCACTTTTTCGAGTTTTACTTGTTTCTAGGGTAGTTTTTGGTGCTGATTTCGATTTTAGCAGCCATTTGAATATTTACGAAGTAGTTCTAGTGCCTTCGTTCCATGTTACGAAGCTATCAGTAGTAGGTGACACTTCTATGGATGGCCGGCAGGACGCCTACTAATTGATCTAACCTGACCTGACCCGACCTGGCCTAAATGCATAAAGACATCGTCTGTGATCAAAACTAACATGAAATTCGTGATCAGCACCCCAAAATACCCCGTAACACCCTAACTTTGCGAAGTTTCAAGAGGTCTCGATTTCCCAACTTTAGTTGGGTCATTAAACTGACTTGGAAAGTCAGCTTATGACCCTGGACTTTGAAATTGGATATATTCGGCCTCATTTCGTCATAGGCAGCACGCTTGACTTTTCCGCGAAGCTCTAGCTTGATCAGGGGCCAAAGGGCTGAGCGGGGGGCCCAATTGAACCCCCTATAATATGTTGATTATGCACATTTACAGGTAAAATTCTCACCAGGACACACCAGCCAACATCTGTGCACAATCTGGCTACAATTCTACCTATGGTTTGCCCTCTACGAATAAATACGTGCTAGATCGGAAAAATCCCCACTGTGGAGTGGGCCGGATGACCCCTGACCGCACCTCACCTTCAGTCGCTGACAGTCGCAGCCCACAGTTCCACTCACACGACGCGTCTCGTTGGAGGCGGTATATTCGGGCAGCTGAGCCAGCACATACGAACAGGGGAGAGCGGAGACAGACATAACGCGCACCCGTCAACAGAAGGGGCGGGAATAGTGCACTGATGCGTGCCACAGGGCCGGCCATACACAGCGGAGAGAGGCATTGACACATGGAGAGATAGAGGCGGTCGTCATTGTCATAGGTCACAGCTCAATGCTTAGCTTACACGCAGCATGGCACTAAGCCCACAGTGTCATAACATATACCCACACTCGTGCCGCGCATCACAGCATACAATCATAACATACAGCCGTAAAAAGCATCACAAAATACAATCGTGCAAATCATCACAGCTTACAATCGAACCGTTCAACTCTGCGTATGGCAACAAGCTTCATACACCATACGATACCGCACTCAACATATGCCGAAAGAAAATATCCCACTTGACACCATGGTACTTTTCTCATACACACAGCGACCAATGGCAGAAGTGTGACGACGCGCCAAACTGTTTGATCAACGGGTGATTGCTGTTCTAGCGGCTGACACACGAGGAGTGACACAATGCAAAGTGGTGAGACGGCAGGTACAGGCTGCAGTTCCAACATCCGAAAAAGCGACCGATTTTGCGACAGCATGGCAGAAAGGCTACTGAAGCAGCATTGCAAAGTTCGCAGCTGTGACATGAACATGAAGTGCATGAAGTATTTATTAAAACCAAGCGCTTGAAAATATTTGTCCGAAAGCGAGGTTGAATGATCAGACGTTTTGATATCAAAACAAAACATACCTATTACCTACATTACACACAACACGTCATGGGTCAATGTGCATTGCGCAAACATTCTGCTTTTCAATCATAACTTCGCCTCTTTCAGCACGCAATGGCAAACAACAACGAATCGGAACAACTAGCACTTGGATCAACTTAATTACAAACTTACTTGACATAAAGTCAATACAATTAACTTCGTACAACGGCATAGAAATATTCACAGGAACCCGATACCTTCAAAGAGTCCCATCACCAAACGTTTACATTACAGCAGCGCGAAAATATAGCAATACACTGGAAACAAATAAAGTCCTTGTTCTCTCTCCTCTCCAAACGCCAGGAATCACTGGGATAGTAACATTCGTCAAAGGCCAGTTTGGGTCTCGCTATTGGCGTTTATGACATTGCGAGTCACGTGTGGTTATATATGTGGGGTGTTGTATATAATACTGAACGAGGCCGGTGTAAATAAATTTTCAAGACCGAGGTCCTTACTGGATTTTTGAACGAGGCCGAAGGCCGAGTTCAAAAATCAGTAAGGACTGAGGTCTTGAAAATTTATCACCGGCCGAGTTTGGTATGTATTTTACTGTATGCCAACGATGCCAACGATAAATTTATTTTCTGGACCGAAGCTCTTAGCCGACTTAGGAACGAGAACATCCCAAAATGTTGGCTTAAGTGCATTCTGGTAATGCATTTTTGACCGTGGTCAATTTGCTTACACCAGTTATTACCACACCCCTCTGGCTAATGTATTTGAATAGACCAGGCATACAGTAAAACCAGTATTTGCTCAAGGTTCGCACCAGCCGGCAACGTTCGTTAAGGGTGGTAAACCAAATGTGGAATTAAGTAGGGAAACGGCAGTGGGATGGTAAATGGTCTGTGAAGAGAGCGCGAAACTGGTAAATCGCACCAACATGACCATCTTGCCACAAGTTCATGTGTGCGCCTTAGTGCATAAATCGGACATCATACATCAGGGAGAGGTGTTGGGTGTAAGTCCGGAGCAGCCACTTGGATGGGGTGATTCCGTTTCCGCAGGCATTGCGTCAATGGTGCAGGGTCACATATGGGGACAGGGTCCCTACTGAAATCGCCCTCCCAGGCTTAGCGCTGCAGCCGGGCGTCACATACTGGGGACAGGGTCCCTACTGAAATCGCCCTCCCAGGCTCAGCGCTGTAGCCGGGGCAGCTGTAGCGCACACAGAAACCATGTGTCACACGGTGGTACACCAGCCAAGCGTGTAGCTGCACACCACATGTGTGTGTAGCTGTACACCACATGTGAGTGACTTCACACCAGGTGTGCGTGTAACTGTACATCATGTGTGTGTAACTGCACACCACACATGCGTGTAATCTTGCACAATCTGTGCCTGTAGCTGCACACCACATGTGCGCGTAGCTGTACACCACGTGTGTGTGTGTGCTGCTTTACAGCACATGTGCCGGTGCACCCCGACGCTGTGAGCTCCAGCACACGGTACGACACACGCCAGATAAGCCACGGTTCGTGGTACGAAGTAAGTTCCTTGCCGCCAGACATGCGCGGTACAAGCTACCTTGTTTGGCCCACGGTACGCGGTACGAACTCCTTGTTTGGCCCACGGGACGCGGTACAGCATGCACAAGTACGCCACGGTATGCGGTACGGTACACCGAAGTACGTCATGTTGCGCGGTAGGGTACACGTTACGTACCGAGCAGTACGCGGGACAGGGCCGCTGTGCGTTCCACGGTACGCGGTACATTTTACGGTGTTTTCCACGATATACGCGGTACGATAGATGCTCCTACTCGGTACTCCGGTACGGTGCAGCAAAAACCCACAGTGGGACGGCCCACAGACAGCCCACAGTGGGACAGCCCTCAGCAAAAACCCACAGTGGGACAGCCCTCACACAATTCAGATCTGGGACAAGGGCACACAATGCTCAACACCGACCGACGACACTGGGGTCCCCACAGAAGTCAAAGCTTCATTCTGGGCAGATGAAAATCATTTCATATCAAAAGCATAACGATATAGTTCGGTGTGGTAAGACAAAAAAAAATGCAGATCATTTTTTATACAAACTAGAGGGACAGCATTAAGCGCAGCGTAATAAATCAATTTTCAATAAAAGCGGCCCAGTAGCGGCCGAGTTATGGCCAGAATAAATTTGGTGACTCCTCTTGGCCGGCGGTGCCCTGTTCCGGTATTCATTGACAAAGGTCAGTGACCTTCCGGCTCTGATCTTGCCCAGTTTCGCCACCGAAGAAACTGAGGCTAATGCGCGTGCTCTCTGATCGGCGACGGCCGCGGCCCAAAATCCCGCAAAGATGCGCCCGCCACGTGCACACCGCTGAACCCACCCCCTCCAAAATTTAATACAATAAACAGATGCACGCGTCCGACTTACGTCGAAAATTTCACCCCCGTATCCCGCACCGTTCCGGAGCAATAGCCCGCCAAGCGTGACTGACGCGTCACATACATACATACATACATACATACATACATACGGACATTTTGATTTTTATATATGTAAACTAGAGGGACAGCATTACGCGCAGCGTAATAAATCAATTTTCATTAAAATCGGCCCAGTAGCGGCCGAGTTATTGCCAGAATAAATGTTGCGTCTCCTCTTGGCCGGCGGTGCTCTGTTCCGGTATTCATTGCCAAAGGTCAGTGACCTTCCGGCTCTGATTTCCCTCAGTTTTACAGCGAAGAAACTGAGCCTAAGGCGCGTGCTCTCTGCTCGGCGCCGGCCGCGGCCCAAAATCCCGCAAAGATGCGCCCGCCACGTGCAAACCACCGAACCCACCCCCACCAAAATTTAATACGACAAACAGATGCACGCGTCCGACTTATGTCCAAAATTCCACCCCCATAGCCCGCACCGTTCCGGAGCAATAGCCCGCCAAGCGTGACTGACGCGTTACATACATACATACATACATACGTACAGACGTTTTGATTTTTATATATGTGAATAAATGATGTCAGTAAAAGAGCACTAGATGAATGCATATCACCTCAAAAAGACCAAAGAGTAATTTTAGGCTTCTTTCGACACACTGGGAAATGTCCATCATCCAACAAACGAACGCCACCAATCTAGCACCAGCTCAGCGATTGTATCCAATCACAACACACCATGGTTGTGCCGCCCTGCCATGCCGGCGATTGTATCCAATCACGGCGGGATTGTGCCGCCCCGCCATGCCAGGGTACATCATTCGCGGTACCCCGCCCCTGCAGAGAACACAGAGATAGTACCGTACCTACTCGGGAGTACCGCACACACGGTACTTTCCTATAAGCAATGTACCGGGATGTGAACAATGAGGCCCTGACAGTCCTACTCTGCGTCACGGTGGAAATGGGGATAACGTTACACGCCCAGGTGCGGAACCAAAACGGTGACGCGTGTTTTCAAAAACTTTTCAAGCAGGTAGGATACATTCACCTTTCTTAGGTCTGACAATAAGACTGCGATCGCTGAAACCCAGACGGCAAAATGATTCGTCGTTCAGCGGTATCATGTAACGCAGCCTAACTGTCACGATTTTTGACAAATTTTGAACCTCAGCCTGTGTAGGCACTAGGCATAAAGAAAAGCATGGAAGTAGACGACTTTTTATATCGACGCAATGATTGGAAAATATTGACATTCAAGGAGAATCAATATAAAGTACCGCAACATTGATGCTGCAAAGCTGCGAGAACGTTCGCCGAAAATCATCCAACTCTTTGTCAATAACGATAAGTCGTTGAAAAATGAGAGAACTGTCTCGCTCAGCTACTCAGTGGAAATTCACATGCGGTGATGCGTTGGTGGCGTAGGAGCAAGTTCAATTTGGGGCTTTCTATGATACAAAGTCAAGCAAGAAAAAATCAAGGGAGGCATAGTCGAATATGGATAAACACATACTGATAGAAGACTTGTGTATAGTACGCAAATTTGTCAATGCTCTATTATAGTGATTATCATGGACAAACGAATGTTTTAGCACTGAATGAAGTGCTGCCACCACCTACACCGCTTTAGCTCCACGCTATTATGCATTACCATCCCAACAGAGACAACGGGGAGAATTTGCACGATAAGCAGCATCGATGAACAAACGTCCCTCCCCACATTTACCGCCAACGTTACTTCAGTTCCTACCGTTTGGGCTTTCATTCGACAATCCAAATCGAAGACAAGAACAGTTCCTCTCGTGTAACCAGAGATGCCTACCGGACTTCACCAGACGCAGTTCCGCCTCCTGCTCTGCAAACGAAGTGATTGCTCTTCAAGGACAATGATTGTGACGTCATAGCACCAAATGAGCTGACTGGAGGATTCGGCGTCTTTTGAGCGTCAGATGAACGCTCCATATTGCCAGACGCTGTATGATTATCGGGGACCCAAAGTGTAATAACCCAGTCTGGTGAAGGCTTCAAGGCCGCTCTGATTATGCTGACAGTACGGCCTAATTTATCGATGGCTCTCTAGCCGCCTGTCTGACGGAGTGGTTGTACCATGGCAGAAGATTCACGTGTTGATCTTGCCCCTGCTGGACGGCGCCTCACCCTACCTCCCACAGAAACACTCGGCTCACCCCACACGGTTCGTCGGAAGGTCATCTCAGGCTCAAAAGAAACGGTATATACCATTCGAAAGCTGACGGTGAGCTGAATCCAAAAATGTAATTTTTATCAAAATCGATCGATGGCCTTTTTTGAAAATTGCGTTTTTGTAAAAACTTAATAATCTTTTATTCGACGGGCTGTCCCGGACATTCTTAAAAACATACACGTGTATTTTTGAGTTCCAGTGAAAGCTGAACGCCAAAAGAACAATATTTAGCGAAGCAATATTTCCAAACATTAATATGCGTCTCCCACAGCCGACAATAAGGCGCAATCACACATCTCAGTGTCACGATGGACCAAGGTCAGCCACACAGAAGCGTGAAATGACCCTTATCGACTCGCAGACCCGGCGCTCTCGGCCCGCCTGACCGGCCACGGAAAGAACGTTCGGCTCTCGTTCTACTAAGCAAATGTAATATTTGCCACTTTAACTGTCCACATCGCTATTAAAGTTACTCAGGATACCTGTGAAGAAAATTCATTGTTCTGCTTGATTTACAACATGCTTTAATTTACATTTTTCTTATACATGTTTTGTTCCATCCAGCTGCGATCAGTGCCCGCGCAGGGGAAGTGAGCGGGGTTTCACTGTCAGAGGCTGTACTGGTGACAGCTGCTCGGCCGTGCGACCGGTCAAAGGTTACCCTGCCCCGCCGGGCGCTACCCCCACTCCACCCGAGCTGAGGCCGGTGCAGCCTCTGACATTTCAGCGCGGCCAATTTTCCTTATATGGGCATGATACCAAGCTCAATTGAGCGAAGTAGACATGAACAGATGCAAATTAATGCATGATGTGAAGATGACAGAACAATGAATTTTCTTCACAGGTATCCTGAATAGCTTTAATAGCGATGTGGACAGTTAAACTGACAACTTTGACATTTGTTTAGTAGAACGAGAGCCGAACGTTCTTTCCGTGGCCGGTCAGGCGGGCCGAGAGCGCCGGGTCTGCGAGTCGATAAGGGTCATTTCACGCTTCTGTGTGGCCGACTTTGGTCCATCGTGACACTGAGCTGTGTGATTGCGCCTTATTTTCGGCTGTGGGAGACGCATATTAACCCTCGCCGGCCGAGGGGGGGGGGGGGCGGGTGCCGCCCCCCCCCATAGGGTTTTTTCGCGATAGCTCCGAACACGCTGGCGATAGAGAGCTGAAACTTGGCATACCTGACCTTTGATCCAAGCCGCATCTTTTGACATCAACCGCATTTTTGGGTCAGGTCAGGTCACTGACCTATGACGTCATAAGTGAACCTCTGCACGGTCTTCAGATGTCGCAACTTCGCAACGACCTCACTGCCAGAGGAGATGTCACAGGGAAATGAAACTTGCAGGATCTAGTATCCATTATGAGTCTCACAACTTGTATATCTCGGATTTTTCCTAAAGGTCATATGAGGTCAGGTCATTTTCGTGACCTCACCATTATAAGTCAATGGGGAAAAATTCAAACTGCTATTCTGGCGCCGGGAACGATCTCCAACTATCTCAAGCACACAGAATCGTGATTTGATGCACTCCTTGCAAGGTTAGATGCGTCACTTTTGCAATGTTGACCTTGCGTGACGTCATTTATGACGTCATCAAGGTCATATTAGTTTTTCGTCAATAACTCCTGATCAAATTGAGCTAGCGAGTCGAGAAAGCCACCAATGGACTCAGGAAGACCTGCCGAATCGAATGATATGCGACATGACCTCTTTCGACCAACTTCGTGACCTGGGGGTGCTGACATGACCTTGACCTGAGGTCAACACCCCAAGTTGACCTGACCCAGACAAAAAGTATATCATTCGACGCGCCTGAGCGAGGCGAACACGATGCTGCCAAAATCGCGGCTCTGCGGCCGTTTTTTGCGAAGTTATTCACCAAAAACGGAACCGTACCCTGGGGCACTTGACCTGACCTCAGAGGTCACCGGTTGACCTAGGACCTTAAAATCGGGTACCAATCTCTGCGTCTCGTAACGGCGCACACGCTCGTTTTTTCCGCGACGCGCTAGCTCCACCAGGGGCGAAACGGCGAGGGGGGGTCGTACCCGCCCCCCCCCCCTCGGCCGGCGCGTATGTAGAAAACCAATAGGTCCGGCGAGGGTTAATGTTTGGAAATATTGCTTCGCTAAATGTTGTTCTTTTGGCGTTCAGCTTTCACTGGAACTCAAAAATACATGTTTATGTTTTCAAGAATGTCCGGGACAGCCCGTTGAATAAAAGATAATTAAGTTTTTAGAAAAACGCAATTTTCAAAAAAGGCCATCGATCGATTTTGATAAAAAATACATTTTTGGATTCAGCTCACCGTAAGCTTTCGAATGGTATATATCGTTTCTTTTGAGCCTGAGATGACCTTCCGACGAACCGTGCCCACTCCGGGACTGAATGGCGAATGGCGCGACCCACCTGTCGTTGCGGCGACCGGCGAACTAGAGTTTGGCACAACCTTCAATAGATGGCAGCAGCGGCGCCGGCCGCATCTTCCGTAACCTGGCGGGCGCTCACAAAGTTTAACAGCGTCCGAGCACCGCTAGATGGCAGCACATCCATGCCACTTCTCGCAACAAAAACTGCCTCTGCATACCGGTTCCCCCACCAGGAAATAGTTCATCGCGTCTTCACTAGATGGCAGGGTGCCAGCGCCACCTATATCCGTCACATATAGGTGCCGCTCCGTCGCACCGCGTAGCTCCCTGCGGCGATTCCCGGATGAAAAGTCAAAACGTTAAAAGTAAACGGATAAAAAGTCAAAGGACATTAGGTCAACAGACAGAAAGTCAACATCGCAAGAAGTCAAAGGACAAAATGTCAAATGAACAAAAAGTCAACCTGCCAAAAAGTCAACACGCCAGAAGTCAACAAGCTAAAAGTCAACACGCAAGAAGTCAAAAGACATAATGTCAAAGAGACAAAAAGCCGACATGTCAAAAAGTCAACGCGCTAAAAGTCAACACGCTAAAAGTCAACACGCATAAAGTCAACACGCAAAATGTCAACGCGCGAAAAGTCAACACGCAAAAAGTCAAGACGCTAAAAGTCAACTCGCCTAAAAGTCAACACGCTAAAAGTCAACACGCGAAAGGTCAACAGATAAGTCAACACGCTAAAAGTCAACATGCTTAAAAGTCAACACGCTAAAAGTCAACACACAAAAAGTCAACAAGCAAATAGCTAATAGGTGCGCGAAAAGTTGATGCGCAAAATGTAGTCAACAGCAAAAAGTAGTCTTTAACAGCAGTCGTTTAAAGTGGGTACAAGTACGCCGCAGCCCGCGTCTCCGGTCGGCGACTGACCCGCGCCGGGCCACCTGATCCCCGGCCGCCGCCCGCTGGGCGCCGGCTGCACCGCATAGCGCGTCTCGGCGCGTCCCCGTGCGTGCCCCGACACTACCGATAAGAACGCTCCTACCTATTTTTACTTTGCTTTAAAAAGTGTATTGGGAATGTGAACTTATCTATATAAAGTTGGCGTACTGTGCCTGCTGGTGGCGGGGGGGGGGGGGGGGGGCAGTTCCGATAAGGAGACGTAGGGCGGAGGCGAAGATGAAGGAGAGGGACAGTAACTGGTAGCCACAATGCGCTATACTTGTCACCTCTCTTTGGACGTCACAGCTCCGAGGTCATAAAAATTGTGTTTTTAGCAATCGCATCTCGATAACTTAATCGACCCATACATTTCGATGAAAATTGGTCACCTTAATTGTATGCAGTCCGTACCTTTCGATGAAAATTGGTCATCTTGTATGCAGTCCGTGAATATTAACAGGTTGTTATCTGTTGATGCTGATATGAGCGTCCCTTTCAAGGCAGGACAATCCGACAATCACACAATTGCCTCTCGTTCCAACTTCCACCTATCTAAAAGAAACGACGCGCTTTACTATTGTACCAATTGTACCCCTACAATACGCTTGAACTATAATAAAAGTGTGAAATCGCTTATAGAACCCGTGACGGAATCACTTGATGAGAAACGTCTCCCTACACAATATAGGAAATTTAAAAAAGCGAACCTTTCGTATCGATAACATTCCGGGTTACTATATTTGTTGAAATAATTCCAGTACCTAAACTGCGCCTGGGACAGCCAGTTGTCTCGAAGGATCATGTAACGCTGCCTCATGACAACCTTACGATGCGAGCGAGCTCCCACCTAGCACGTAAGTGTCAACGGATGTGTGTCAGATTTCAGCCAAGCATGCCCGTGTGACCAGCTGAGTCGCGGTTGCGGGCCATGGGAATCCCCATCAGTCGCGCAATGGAGGCAGTCTCGCTTCAATGTCCAATGATGCAGGTCAGGTTATATTGTGCAATGTGCAGCATCCTGCTTAATTGTGTACAGCTATTTGTAAATGTTAACTCATGTATGTACCTAATGACTGATGATCCAGGTGTCATTGACTTTGTCTCTTTGACTTGTCCTTTTGAGTTTTTGGATTTTGACTTTTTTCCTTTGGATTTTTCGTAATTTGACTTTATGTCCTGTTGACTTTTCGTCTTTTGACCTTTGTCCTCTTCACTTTTTGTCCTTTTGACTTTTAGTCCCTTTGATTTTTTGTCCTTTTGACTTTTTGGACTTTGACTATACCTATGTCTTTTTGACTTTTTGACCTTTTTACTTTTTATTTTGACTTCATGCCCGGTTGACTTGTTGTTTTTGACTTTTTGTCCTTTTGACCTTCTGTCCTTTTGTTTTTTTGGATTTTGACTTTATGTCCTGTTCACTTTTTGTCTTTCGACTTTTGTCCTTTTTACTTTTTGGCAATTTGACTTTTTGCCGTTTTTACTTTTTGTCTTTTGACCTTATGTCCATTTGACTTTTTGTCTTTTGACTTCTATGCTAGTTGACTTTTTGTTCATTGACTTTTTGGCAATTTCACTTTTTATCTTTTGACGTTTTATCCTTTTTGACTTTTTGCCTTTTGACTTTCCTCTTTGTTGACCTTTTACCTGTTGACTTTTAAGATTTTTGACTTCTTGCTTTTGACGTAATGTCTGTTGACTAATCATCCTTTTACATTTTATCATTTGACTTTTTGTCCGGAACCCCCCTGCGGCGCCATTAGAAAACATAGTCTGTCGGTGCCGCGGGCCGGTCCTAGCTCCTGTTGTATCGGTTCCCCTCGCCCCGTTTGTGAGTGTCCTTGTACTCGTCAAGCTGCCGGGCGCGCGCCAGGGCGGCCGCGTCATCCGTCTCCTCCAGACGGTCCTGGAAGGGCGGGAGGCGCTCAGAGCTGGGAACACCAGCCGGGCCAACAGTCATCGCATACGCACTATGCAGAGAGGATACGAATATCTAGACTTCTGCAGGGCACAGCACCATACGCGTTGAAGTGTTGATATGCGCTTTTACTAGACCTTGGGGCAAAAACTCTGAAAAAGTGTTCAAGGGATAGAAATCTTCCCCTCAATAAACCCACCACACACCTATAGGGCGTCCACAAAAAGACAACATAAATTGTTTGCTGGTGATTATCGAAGCATCGAAGACCAGGATAATGAATGCTTATTTAAATGGTCAGCACGCAACTGTTTTATAAAATCGTTGTAGCTATCAAACACAAGAAAAAGTAATTGTCTGACGAAACCTTAGAGCTGCAGCGTTTTGAATTCGTAACGCCACTTACCCGTTCCCCGTCCTTGTCATCTGCGGTGGCCGGCTGGCCGGCCGGAGGGGCGGGGTTGGACGCCTGCTGACAGCCACCGGGGAACCTGGCGGACACAGCCGGTTAAAACTGGATATATCGGGACACAAACCCTGCTGACAGACCCGAGAGCCTGGCGGACACCGCCGGTTAAAACTGGGTATAACTGGATACATCCTCTGCTGACAGCCACCGGGGAACCTGGCGGACACAGCTGGTTAAAACTGGGTATAACTGGATACAACCCCTGCTGACAGCCACCGGGGAACCTGGCGAACACAACCGGTTAAAACTGGGTATAACCGGATACAACCCCTGCTGACAGCAAACCCTGCTGACAGCCACCGGGGAACCTGGCGGACACAGCCGGTTAAACCTGGGTATAACTGGATACAAACACTACTGACAACCACCGGGGAACCTGGCGGACACAGCCGGTTAAAACTGGGTATAACCGGATACAACCCCTGCTGACAGCAAACCCTGCTGACAGCCACCGGGGAACCTGGCGGACACAGCCGGTTAAACCTGGGTATAACTGGATACAAACACTACTGACAACCACCGGGGAACCTGGCGGACACAGCCGGTTAAAACTGGGTATAACTGGATACAACCCCTGCTGACAGCCACCGGGGAACCTGGCGGACACAGCCGGTTAAAACTGGGTATAACCGGATACAACCCCTGCTGACAGCAAACCCTGCTGACAGCCACCGGGGAACCTGGCGGACACAGCCGGTTAAACCTGGGTATAACTGGATACAAACACTACTGACAACCACCGGGGAACCTGGCGGACACAGCCGGTTAAAACTGGGTATAACTGGATACAACCCCTGCTGGCAGCCACCGGGGAACCTGGCGGACACAGCCGGTTAAAACTGGGTATAACTGGATACAAACCCTGCTGACAGCCACCGGGGAACCTGGCGGACTAGCCGGTTAAAACTGGGTATAACTGGATACAAACCCTGCTGACAGCCACCCGGGAACCTGGCGGACACAGCCGGTTAAAACCGGACACAAATTCTGCTAACAGTCACCTAGAAAAAGAACTGGCGAAAACTGACTGCCATGGGCACTATGCCAGTTACCCAATAAGTTATTTAAAATCAGATCACAAAAACATATATTCCGACCGAAAGCAATTGTTTTAAGACATCACACAAATTATAGAGGTTCCAACCCCCCCCCCCGTCCCCCCAAAAAATCATCAATGATCCCAACACCTAGCTTGATTGAGACACCCACAGCTGGGGCATTCCACGATAGATCGTACCAGGCCCGTCACCCTCATCTCTCAGATTTTAATGAAAATCGGTCCGAGGGTAAATCATAGGCCCCAAAGACGCCTGGCAAAATATCAGACTTCTCAGATCAAAACTTTTTGAGTTATATTGCATTACATTTTTTTAACCTCGGTTTGTAACGGTGAGTTTGATGGCCTATAACTCAAGAACGGGTTAAGCAACCAACAAAAAGTAAACAACATTAAGCTTGCGATGAATCAAAAATTAATATTAACATTTAAAAATTCCAAAGAAAAATTTTCCTTGTTGAGCAAAAACCTTAACCTTTTTTCATTTGCCTCTAATGACTTTTGGGACCAAAATTTTTCACATTTTTATTCTTTCAAAAAAAAAAAAAACTTCATGTCATTGTAAATTGACATGCAGAAAATTAGAAAGGTGTTCTTTCTATAAGTTCCTCATTTTCCCGCAAACAAAATGGGTTTGGGAGGGGTTGATACGACCCCAGCACGCCGTTTCGCTTCTAATGGAGCTAGAGCCTCGCGGAAAAAAACGAGCGTGTGTGCCGTTACAAGTCGCAGCGATTGGTACCCGATTTTAACCCGCGCCCAGCTGGGGGTCCTGGATTTCCACGCCCTGCTGGGGGGGGGGGGTTTGTTTGTTTGTTTATTGGGGCTTAAGGGCGCGCCGACTACAACGGGGGTGTTTGAACCCCCCCCCCCCCCCTTGTAGCTCGGCTCCTGGGTCACGTAGCGATACGCGGAAGGCGGCGTTCGAAAGAGCGTCAAAAATGATGACGAAATCACTTCGGTCAATTTTTTGGTCAGGTCAAAGGTCAGGTCACCAGAGATCATTGAAGGCAAAATTTCGCCGATTTCCAGGTCGAATGTCGAAAATTTCCAAGAAGCCAACGTATAACTCGGGAACCAATAGAGCTACAGCGCCCCGGAAAAGCGCATTCGATAGCCCTATTAACGCCCTTTCTGAGTAATTCTCTCAGATTTGACCTAACTTCAACGGTTTTGCCTGCAGGGGGCAAAAACTGCAAAAATAACAGATTTTTTTCGAAAACAGTTTTTCTGCAATAACTTTTGACCCAAGCCTTGTACGAGCTTACCTTTACCGGAATCGTGTTCCTCTCAACAAGACGCATCGAATGAACTACAACTTGATCTTGAAAGGTCAACTTGAAAATTTGACCTCAGGTCAAGGCCATGACCTGACCGGAAAGGGTCATGTTGCATATCAGTCGATCCGTATCGACGAGCTGAACACATCTAAGGCGTTTTCATCGCTCTAGCATACCTCTATCAAAAGTTATTTGCGAAAAACTGTTAGATACCATTCGTGACCTAAGATGACCTCAGGGCATAAACAAGGGTCACGGACACCATTTTCATGTTCAGTGTGTCTAAACCACTTGTAATTAGGTGTTTGGGAGTGTTTATAACGTCTTTCATCCAAAAGAGGCGCATTTCAATTTTCTCCCATTGACTTATAATGGGGAGGTCGCAAAATTGACCTGACCTTAGGTCATCGATATCAAAATTCTGAGATATACATTTTGTACCTACATGCTATTGCTCTTAGCAATCGCTGAAAGTTTCAAAGCCATCGGTCACTCGGTGTAGCTATGACAGACATTGAAAGTTTTTATGAGGTGAGGTCACTTGAAGTGACCTGGTGACCTGACCTTGAATGACCTTGGTCTGAAATTTTTACAACATGTGTAGAATTGATGTATGATAAGGTGTACCAAAAACGGCGGCGCTCCTCGCCGCCGTTTTTGAGATATTCGCGAAAAACCACAAGGGGGGGTGTTCAAACACCCCCCCCCCCAGCAGGGCGCGGGTTAAGGTCTCAGGTTAACCGGTAGCGTCAGAGGCCAGGTCAAGTGACTGAAGTTACGGGTTCGGTTTTTAGTAAATAACTTCGCAAAAAAATGGCCGCAGAGCCACAATTTTGGCATCATTGTGTTCGCCTAGCTCAGGCGCATCGAATGGTATACTTTTTGCTAGGGTGAGGTCAACTTAAGTAGTTGACCTCGGGTCAAGGTCAGGTCAGATCCCCTCAGGTCACGAAGCTGGGCAAAGGGTATCATATGGCATATCATTCGATTCGGAAGGTCTTCCCGAGTCCATTGGTGGCTTTCCCGACTCTCTAGCTCCATTTGATCGGGAGTTATTGACGAAAAACTCGTGCGACCCTAGTGACGTCATAAATGACGTCACGCAAGGTTAACAATGCAAAAGTGAAGCATTGGACTTTGCAAGGAGTGCATGAAATCACGATACCATGTACGTGAGATAGTTTTAGATCATTATCGGCGCCAAAATAACAGTTTTTTATATTTCCCCATTGACTTTTGACAGCGATGTCACGTGACCGACCTGACCTCATGTTACCTTAAAAAATTCCCAGATATACAAGTTGTGAGACCTCTGGAGGACACCATGCATGCGTCCTGTAACTTTCATCTCGGACAGCTATGGTCATTGGCGTCCAAAACAATGTCAGAACCAAACAGCCTTTTTCACCCTCGCGCTTATAGGAAAGAGGGTTGGATAAACCCTCTTTTCACTTTTTTCAGATGACTCAGACTTCAATTGAAATTTCAGTAACCCGTGATGTCACTAGGCAGCTTTACCACGCAATTTGTAAGCTCCCCTCCCAATATCACTACTCGAAACCGTTATCGTGACGTAAAATAAATACATTTATAAAAAGAACACCTTCCTAATTTTTTGCATACTTCTTAACCCGCTCCCTGGTGGGGTCTGTTTATAACGCGACCTGGTGGGGGGGGGCTATTTTTTGCCCCCCCCCCTCGTATCTCCGAAACTACTGGACGGATCCGCAAAATTCAAACGGCGTTCGAAAGGCCTGTCAAATTTGTCGAGGAAAACCAAATTTCATTGACCTCGGGGTCACCGATGACGTCACAGGTCAGGTCAAAGATGAAATGTTTCACCGTTCACGGGTCTTCTAGGGAATGCGCTATAACACCGAGGAAAACGCATTTTGTCGAGAATCAGCGATAGGGCGTCAGTTGCCTAGTAGATATATTACTATTAGAGGTCACTGACAATACCAGGTCAGGTCACAGGTCAGGTCACCAAGGGTCACAGGTCAGGTCACATGAGCCCAACTTTACTAAGGTTGTGTGATGCATGTTTTATGGCCAATTTTTCATTTCCAACTCAATGGTATTGGTTATAAGACTATCAGGTACGGCTTAGGTCACTTTCTGGTGAAGTTCAGGTCAAGGTCAGGTCAAGGTCAGGCCAAAAAAGGTCAAATTTTAAAGTTGATAGTTTTGCATAAAATGGGTATTGATTCGATGCAGCTCGTCACGGGGAGTCTAATGGTGGTCTTTGTTTTGCGCTACGGGGTCTAGAATTGCTAAAAATTGAGTTTGAAAATTTGACGTCATCAATTTTGAACAGTTTTTTCGCTATAACTTCGCCAAAAAAAGAGGTATCGATCTCAAATTTGGTATGTGGATGGAAGGCGGTAAGGACTATCACATATATTCCGGTTTTTGCGAAATTCAAAAAACTTTTTGGATTTTTCGATTATATGCAAAAAAAATATTTTTTGATTTTTGGGGGTCAAAATCCAAAAATTTCAAAAATCCGAGATAGCAGTTTTGTAGCCCTGTTGATTCTACAGCTTTTATGTCTTTATCATTTTTCTGTATTTGCAAAGCTATAGGCCTGACAGCTGTTCCCGCGAAACCCTTTTTTGGGTCGAAAACGGCAGAACATGACGTCACTCTGACGTCATTTCCGGCCAACCTATCATAGCCTTTGGAAAAATTTTTGGTCACAATGTGTAAAATTGATGTCCGGGAGGGTACTGAAAGTTTGGTGACGATCGGCGCAGCGGTTCTGGAGATATATCAAAAAGTCTGGAGGGGGGCAAAAAATAGCCCTCCCCCACCAGGGCGCGGGTTAACAATGAGACAAATATTTTTTTTTTAAGAAATAAAAATTCAAAAAAAAATTGGTCCCAAAGTCCAAAAAATACAAATGAAAGAAAACTCGATATGTCATATATAAAAAATAGCGTATTTTTCGAAACTAAAAAAATACATATTAATCTCTGTTTCATTGCAAGTTCAATGTTATATAACATTTGGCGTTTGAATAATCCGTCTTAGAGTTACAGCCCGCCAAACTTAGCGCTGCAAAGCAAGATCCAAAAATGTTGTACACCATAACTCAAAAAATACTTATCTGATAAGCCTGAAATTGTTACAGGTGGATTCAGAGCCCCTGATTACCCCTGAGACCAATTCTCGTCAAATTCCGAGAGATGAGGGTGCCAAATTGGAAAAAAAGTGGTACGATCTATCGTGGAATGCCCAAGCTTTCACTCAGTCCCTAACTCGGACTGCCACTCTGACTCGGATTCACACTCTGTAACTGACTCGACGATCCACTCCGTCCCTGACTCTACCTCCCACTCCGCCCCGCACTCCCACTCCGTCCCTGACTCTAACTCCCACTCTCCGCCCCGCACTCACACTCCGTCCCTGACTCTCTGTTCGTAGAACTCCTCCACGGACATTGTGGGCAGGCTGCTGTAGCCGGCGCCAAACACCTCCGCCTCCAGCTTAGTGCGGGTGATCACCACCGGCCGCAGCGGCGGCGCAGACGCCGGCGAACGGAGCGACTCGGCCGCCGCCGCGCCGCCCCTGGGGGAGGGGGAGGGTAATTAGACCACGTTAACACCGTACCAAAAAAAAAAAAAACACATACACACAACATCATCGGAAAAGACGCAGTCATGAACGTGAAATAGTGAAAAAAACATCGACAAAACGGACATCGAAACACTAACTGTTCACTGTTCACAGGCACTCTGAAATACTCCATCCCTAATCCAATTATATCTAACCCGATTTTTTTTCTCGAATTTATGTTCTACAATCAGCCAACACTCGCTCTCCGCTCCGGCTCTCAGGCCCCTGAACCCCACCTCTCCCTGTCCTGTTGTCAATGTCACCACCTCCTTCCCTCACGCTCACCTGGTCTTGAGGTGCTGCATGTGCTCCAGGATGGGCTTCTCGAGCTCGAGGCTCTGCAGTTCGGACAGCGCCTTACCGACGGCCTGGCGCAGCAGCGTCAGATAGTATGTGCGTATCGTCTCGTCGTCCGGACTGGGGCGGCGCATCGCCTCCTGGGGGAGGGGACGTCACAGGTCACAGGTCACAGGCGTGGACAGGGTCAGTGCAGGACCCCAGTGTCCCGGGGTGAAAGTAGCAATGGTCCGTATCGTCTCGTTATCCGGACTGGGGCGGCGCATCGCCTCCTGGGGGAGGCAGTGTTACAGATCAGGTCACAGGTGTGGACAGGGTCAGCACAGGTCATCGCCTCCTGGGGGAGACAGTGTCACAGGTCAGGTCACGGGTGTGGACCCGGTCAGCACAGGTCCCCAGGGTCCCGAGGTGACACCATCGATGGCCGACCGACCCTGACCGTCGCATTGTCAGGACTGGAGCGGCGTATCGCCTGCTGGGGCAAATGGGGAGAGGATATCATGGCGCGAGCCAAACGAACGAACGCACCCCCTCTAGGCCGGCGAGGGTTAACAGAGCCTTGTATCTCGACAATCTCTCGACTCGACCGATTGACAAGTGGTCTTCTATATCCATCTTTTAAATCCAACTCAAGTCTCAACTACTTCTGATGCATGTGGATTAGTGGTGCCAATCGGAGCTCAAGCCTTCGGAGCTCCGGCAATGCCCAATTCGAAATTTAGTTGTTCAAAGGCAGCAGGCTTAGGACAGCACTGGGCAAACAACTGCAAATAGAAAGCTCAGCTCTCGATATGAGTAACGCCTTTGGCTAATAGCACACTAAAAGCAAATTGAATAATTATGTTGAGTGTAGCGTAGTTTTCGGACATCTTTAGGCAAATAGAACCTTGAACCTTTATTGGCACCACTAATTTGGATCAACGACACGTCTTATGCTACGTGTCAAGTTAGGGGTGCCATAACCCGCGACCGCCTGGGGGGGGGGTCGGATCCGACCCCCCCCCCCTCCGTTTTTCTTGAATAACTCATGAACTGCTTACGCTATCTACTTGAAACTTGGCATACCTTCTCCCCCATCAATTTAACGTCTCCTGTGCAATTTTTAAGAAAAAAATCCAATTTTTTTTTTTAGATATATCGATTTTAGTGATGTAACTACATGGCGTTTTCAGTCAAAAAATGGTAAATGTTTAAAAAATCGCCAAAAATCGAGGTTTTAAGCAAATTGCAAATTAAGGACATGAATAGACGCAGCACAACGAGTTCTTTAAAATGGCTATCTCGGATTTTCCATAAATGCGTTTTTTACCCCTAGAAATTCAAAACACTATATTTTTTGGAAAACAGCTAATAAAATCCAAAATTTTGGGAAATTCCAAAAAAAACGGAAAATATGTTATAGACCTCTATTAGAACATTAGATGTCACAAATTTCAACTTTCTATCTTGATTTTTGACCCCCAAATTGTAAAAAATAGCTCCAACATACATAGGGCACGGTGACGTCATAAGCATTTTCGTGAATTAGAGGCACTTCTGAACATCGCATGTGAAAACAAATGGCACCACTAGATTCCTGGGACAAAGCTCGTCTAGATAAGTGCATTTTTGTCAAAAATAAAAAGTTGAAAAATTGACCTTTTTTCTGGGCCCTCGTTTAGTTATGTATGGTATAATTGATTTTTTATGCTTTCAATGCACACTTATCACCAGCACAGTGACTTGGGGTCACATATAACCATTACCAACGGATTCGGCGTGAAAAATAAGCCATAAAACATGTGTCGCACGCCCATGTAGCAGAAAGTGAAAACCGTGACCTTTCGTGACCTGACCTGACCTTGACCCGTACTTAGTATGACCCCTATACGCACATGGTACCTTCACTAGGCCTTTGAAGTCATTTTTGGTGAGTTTCGAGCAGCAGCTATCGATTCCGCTGTCCGTAAGCCTAATCATGCAAAACCCCTGAATTTGACCTTTGACCTGACCTTGACCCGAAAGTTGACCTCAATCTTAAAATCTTAAGAGTGCTTTGGGAAGGTCTCGTAGAGACCTTTCGAACGCCGCCTCGCGGGGCTCGATACGACCATTGGTTCTCGAGATAACAGGGGGGTCGGATCCGACACCCCCCCCCCCCCCCTAGGCTGTCGTGGGTACGGAAATAGCCAAGGCGGTGCCGGGATAATCGTTCCATTTACAATATCAAACTCTACAACGACTAGACGAACCGCACTAAACTTAGCCAACTGAACATTAAAGCGGGCGATGCGTTCCCATGTATAGTCGACTACAGGACGATGTTCCACTTTTCACAGGCAATTATTTGCCTGGAGTGGTAGGCTGTGCCGCATCACACGGGCTGAGTTCACAACTTATAGCTTTGTCCCAATGGTCATAATCGACACGCTTAATTGTGTGATAACCGGCAACAACTTAGCGTTCCGGTCAACTGATAGCTTCTGAGGAGTGGAACATCATACTGCATCCTGAGAGGGGCTGGACCTATTGCGCTCGAATTTGGTAGACGGTTAGGGGCAGTTAGTAGGGTGACCCGCACAAGCCAGCTGGGGGCACCACGTCAAACTTCAGCACGCACAGTGCTCATGAGTGCGCTCGAGTGCTCATGAGTGCGTTCGAGTGCTCATGAGTGCGTTCGAGTGCTCATGAGTGCGCTTGAGGACTCATGAGTGCGCTCGCTCGATTGCCCCCCCCCCCCCCAGAAAAGGACAACTTATTGGTTACAGGGTTGGCAAATTTATGCCAGCAGCCGGTTTAAACAGGTTTAATCCATGGATTAAGCCGGCTGTCATAAACTACTATGGACGTCAAACCCCTTGAGACCCCACTTTTTTGCGATAATTTTTAAATGCGTCAACTCTCGTTGACAATATTCTGGCAATGTGTGTTTCAGAACCTGCCGAAACTTTTATTACTAAGGTATTTTGACGCCAAACGATTATGAAAGGTACTTCTCATTCACTCGTAATGTTAAATTTCACGGAACGAATCTGCTGTTTGGGTAGAGGCTACGCGCTCATGGGGCGGAGCCACGTAATGACGTCAGCGCTAAGCTCCGCCCTACCCCTCCGGCGCTCCTTGCCCGGCGACCGGTCACTCGCGTCTCTCGCTCCATTCAGGCTTGATGGTGGGCGGTAGCTGGTAGCGGTATCGGGCGCTGGTAGATGGTATTTAGAGCAGATGGCGCTGGTGGCGGGGCTCGAGTGTGGCCGAGCGCAAGCCTCTGCCCGGGCCTGAATTGACCTTAACATTACGAGTGAATGAGAAGTACCTTCCATAATCGTTTGGCGTCAAAATACCTTAGTAATAAAAGTTTCGGCAGGTTCTGAAACACGCATTGCCAGAATATTGTCAACGAAAGTTGACGCATTTAAAAATTATCGCAAAAAAGTGGGGTCTCAAGGGGTTTGACGTTCATAGTAAATCAAATCACCCTGGTTTAAACCAGTATGCACCAACATAATAAATGCCACTTATGTACGTTTTCTTCTCGTAACATCACTTGAGGTAAACTGCTTCATTACACTATGCTGCTTCTTGTCTTCACATTTCCCATCTACACCTTTCAATTATTCATGCTAACTTGCAATATTTTATACAGTTAACTGTTCACATGGGTGGTTCATGGGATAATAGGTCTTGGAGTACAGTAAGTAAAGTGAAACCAGTTTCCCGTTACTGTTCGTTGCCCTTACAGTGTCCAGGTACTGCTACCTAGTACCTGGTACTGTGCCTTGTGAGTTCTGGGGACATTTTGTGTTTTTCTAGTGTTACTAGTCCAGGCCCCAGACGATTGGTCAGAATGCATACATGTAAAATAAAGTGAGACTTTCAATTGGTAAACCGAATGTTAAGACTGGAATGTGCTTGTGCCTTACACCTACTTTGTTTCTTAGCTTAGTTTCCTACTGACCAGATTGTCAACATAATCATATGCCAAAACGTCGACATAATACCAAATAACACGGTACTGACTTCCAGTTATAGTAGATGTTTGGACTGAAGGTGGTTTTTTTAATTCAAGCTGGTTTAAACCTGTCAATTTCAGCCGGCTTCAATACATCCCTGATTGTTTACATGACCAAACAACTTGATCAGTCATCTTAATTACGAGTTCCTCAAAATTTCGTTAGCAACTGGTGGTCGGCCAACTAGTGAAACAAAAATCGTGCTCACTCGTGCCCGCTGACTGTTTGTGCTAGGCTTTCAAACTTGTGTTCATTTTGTGTGCGTGTGGGGGGGGGGCTGTTAAAAATTCAAAGGTGCGTTCCGTGAGCTCAGATGGCAAAACCACTTCTCTAACAATGAGAATAGTCATATCGTTATCATTCGCGACTTAGTACGGACAACTGAGGTCTGTGCGTCAAAGATTGCACCATGGATCATGCATTGCTCATCGACCCTAAGACCCGGAGGTACAGCCGGTAATAAAGTCCCGGGAGGGTGATTAATGAGATATCACAGGATATGCATTACTAAGGCGACCGTCATTCGCATGATACCAGCTCCTCAAATTATTAAACGGACTCTTTGGGACTGTCTACCCGCCCGCAGGGAACACTGACTGGGCGGGCGGAACATTGAGACGGGATGGCGGCAAACGAGTGGTGGCCCAGCTCTTTCAAAAATTCTTATCCGATACAGGACGGTTCAGGTAGTCTATCGGGTTGGCGGGCTGGCCCCTCGGGCCTGGCCGGAGCCGGAGTGGTCGGGCGGGTCGGCGGCGGTGGCGGCGGCGTGGCGGCGGTCGCTGCGGGTGCGGCGCGGGCGTGCGTGCAGTGGTGAGGTGATCCGACTCGGGCGATAGCACATAAGAGCCGAAACTGGTGCTGCGATTTAAGCAAGATTGCTTTTGCACCAATTGGCGATCATTGTTCTGTACGTGTTCTGCTTAATGAAATAAATTTATTATATCTATCTATCTTATTCTACGAGGCGGCAACAACGCCGGGGGTTGCCAGGGCACCCGGAGTTGACGAGCACGCATGTCCGCTCAAGGGCGTGGGCGAGAATGGCTCTACAGCAGACAAAGGGACGGCCTCGTACTATGTATGGCCGACGAGGTACGCATGCACTATTATTAGCGAGAATCAACAACAGCCTTGACCGGCCTTGATAGGAGTTCAACAATTATCTGACGTCAATTATTGTGACGTGATAACATCGTGATCGTGATAACACTGTGACAAACACAGCTAACCACCATCGAGAGCAATGCCTATGTTTTGTTCTGTGGTTTCCTTGTTCGAGGGTTGAAGGGTCAGCAGCGCCTCAACAGTAAAACTGGATTCCGTCAATCCGTCAAAATATAATGACTGATCATGAAGCGAAAAAGGAGTTAACAGACAAGGCGACATTGTCAGGTGGAGATTGATGGGGGAGGGAATGACCTTATCTAATTGCTCATCGGCGCCCGTCAGTGTCAGGAAATTAAGACGCAAAACTATGCGTGAAATGATGAAAAAGTTAACAAGCATAAAACTACCAAAGCCACTAGTTTGGCTTCCCTCGCTCCCTTCCATTCCCTTCCTTTCATTATTCCGCCCTCCCTCCCCCTCCCTCCCCCTCTCTCACCTGCAGTTCGGTCAGCTGTTTCTCCAGCTCCTTCTGCTCGCGGTACCTCCTCAGTCGCTCCTCCCGCTGTTTGGACATGGTGGCCAGATCCCTCATAGTGGGCGCGCGCGGCTGCTGCGCCGGGTGCCGCGCCGCCGGGGGGTCGGGCTCCTCCCCTCGGGACCGGGGAGCCGGGATCTCGGCCTCGGTTATACCGTAGTCGCGGCACCGCTGTAGAAAGTCCCGGTAGTACACCTCCGCTATACCGATCAGCTGAGGGAGAGAGAAACGGGGGTAACAGAGGGGTAAGAACCAGTCCCGGTAGTACACCTCCGCTATACCAATCAGCTGAGGGGAGAAACAGAGAGGGGGTAACAGAGGGGTAAGAACCAGTCCCGGTAGTACACCCCCGCTATACCAATCAGCTGAGGGAAGAAACAGGGGGTAACAGAGGGGTAAGAACCAGTCCCGGTAGTACACCTCCGCTATACCAATCAGCTGAGGGAGAGAGAAACAGGGGTAACAGAGGGGTAAGAACCAGTCCTGGTAGTACACCTCCGCTATACCAATCAGCTGAGGGAGAGAGAAACAGGGGTAACAGAGGGGTAAGAACCAGTCCTGGTAGTACACCTCCGCTATACCAATCAGCTGAGGGAGAGAGAAACGGGGGTAACAGAGGGGTAAGAACCAGTCCCGGTAGTACAACTCCGCTATACCAATCAGTGAGGGGAGAAACAGGGGGTAACAGAGGGGTAAGAACCAGTCCCGGTAGTACACCTCCGCTATACCAATCAGCTGAGGGGAGAAACAGGGGGTAACAGAGGGGTAAGAACCAGTCCCGATAGTACACCTCCGCTATACCAATCAGCTGAGGGGAGAAACAGGGGGTAACAGAGGGGTAAGAACCAGTCCCGGTAGTACACCTCCGCTATACCGATCAGCTGAGGGAGAGAGAAACAGGGGTAACAGAGGGGTAAGAACCAGTCCTGGTAGTACACCTCCGCTATACCAATCAGCTGAGGGAGAGAGAAACGGGGGTAAGAGAGGGGTAAGAACCAGTCCCGGTAGTACACCTCCGCTATACCAATCAGCTGAGGGGGAGAGAGAAACGGGGGTAACAGAGGGGTAAGAACCAGTCCCGGTAGTACACCTCCGCTATACCAATCAGCTGAGGGAAAGAGAAACAGGGGTAACAGAGGGGTAAGAACCAGTCCCGGTAGTACACCTCCGCTATACCAATCAGCTGAGGGGAGAAAACAGAGAGGGGGTAACAGAGGGGTAGAACCAGTCCCGGTAGTACACCTCCGCTATACCGATCAGCTGAGGGGAGAAACAGAGAGGGGGTAACAGAGGGGTAAGAACCAGTCCCGGTAGTACACCTCCGCTATACATATCAGCTGAGGGGAGAAACGGGGGGTAACAGAGGGGTAAGAACCAGTCCCTGTAGTACACCTCCGCTATACCAATCAGCTGAGGGGAGAAACAGGGGGGGGGGGGTAACAGAGGGGTAAGAACCAGTCCCGGTAGTACACCTCCGCTATACCAATCAGCTGAGGGGAGAAACGGGGGTAACAGAGGGGTAAGAACCAGTCCCGGGAATACACCTCCGCTATACCAATCAGCTGAGGGGAGAAACAGGGGGTAACAGAGGGGTAAGAACCAACGGTGGGGGAGGTGCCGGTAGTACACCTCCGCTATGCCAATCAGCTGAGGGGAGAAACAGGGGGTAACAGAGGGGTAAGAACCAGTCCCGGTAGTACACCTCCGCTATACCAATCAGCTGAGGGGAGAAACAGGGGGGGGGGGTAACAGAGGGGTAAGAACCAGTCCCGGTAGTACACCTCCGCTATACCGATCAGCTGAGGGGAGAAACAGGGGGTAACAGAGGGGTAAGAACCAGTCCCGGTAGTACACCTCCGCTATACCAATCAGCTGAGGGAGAGAGAAACAGGGGTAACAGAGGGGTAAGAACCAGTCCCGGTAGTACACCTCCGCTATACCAATCAGCTGAGGGGGAGAAACAGGGGGGTAACAGAGGGGTAAGAACCAACGCTGGGGGAGGTAGGGAGAGAAACGGGGGTAAAAGAGGGGTAAGAACCAACGCTGCAGAAAGTCCCTGTAGTACACCTCCGCTATACCAATCAGCTGAGGGGAGAAACAGGGGATGGGGGGTAACAGAGGGGTAAGAACCAGTCCCGGTAGTACACCTCCGCTATACCAATCAGCTGAGGGGAGAAACAGGGGGATAATAGAGGGATAAGAACCAGCGGTGGGGGGGTCCCTGTAGTAAACCTCCGCTATACCGGTCAGCTCAGAGCCGAAGGGGGAAAACAGGGGGTTGAGTGAGTCATGGGAAATGGCGCAAAAAGGTGAAACGGTTAGGTGTATTGCAGGGAGACGACACCGAAATAATCCTAGTTATGATTCAACTTCGCCCGGATGCATGCAATTATATCTGATACCTCACAGCAGGAGCCTAAGCCACGGAAGTTCCTAAAGAGCGGAGACCTCGGCGATAGGAAGGACAAATGGGGAAAATGACGGGTAATGGGTAACAACCGATGGTGGGGGAAATACCTCTAACGAAGTACCCTGGCGATGTGAGACACTGATCGAGTGTAGCGTGGAACAGGGAATGGGGGGGGATATCAATAGGAATGTGTGCGTTAATCAACAGGAAAATATACATTGCGGTTAAAGGTAGTGTGCCAGCTTTCCTGGACCGTATGGAGTTAATGGCCCAGATAAGGAGAACCGGATTTTTAGAACTTATCCATACCTTCAAAACTCATGGAAACGTCTTAAATTCTTCAAATTTTGAGTACCCCAGTGCGAAATTCGCCCCGACGGGTTGTCGGTCGTACCCCAACCACATTTCACACCACTATGAACAATAAATGCACACACTGAAATCGCTATTACCGATATGCTCATCCAATCAAGTTTCGATAAACCCGTTCATCATCATCTCCTGCGGTTTCGAACACGCCTGTTAGGTGGTGCGGTAGACCGCGCCCAAAGCCAGGGCCCCGGTAACGTGAGGTAGCCGAGTCGGGGCAGCGTGCGCTGACCCAAGCCGGGGCCGCGCGTCCTCCCGGTGTCATGTGATAGCCCGGGGGGATGCGGTAGACCGCGCCCAAAGCTGCGGCCCCGGCTTGGGTCAGCGCACGCTGCACCGACTCGGCTACCTCACGTTACCGGGGCCCTGGCTTTGGGCGCGGCTTCTGCTCATACTTTGTGGTGCGATGGTGGTGCGTCGGGCCGCGCGCTCTGACTTCGGCCAAGAAAAATGCGTCAGCTGATCATTGTCATTTCTGCCACTTGCGTGTGGTGAAATGGGTCATAACTTAAGAGACGGCTTTTCCATATCAATTATTTTACATAAAATCATATTTCAAACCATAAATAATGTTCGACAGCCAAATAAAAGAAACAATACCAATACAGGCTTACAGTTTAAGGCTCGACATTGTGTTGTCTACGATTAGACAGCTGATAACTCATTCCCGTACGTCGTAACTCTATAATGACCTTTGCTTATTGTCACATGTGCGCCGCATTCGCGATTGTTGCCGACGCCTGTTGCAGCTCAGCCCACTACAGTTGTTATACATATCGAAAAACCGATAAACTTTTAGGCGAAAAAGGCACTATTCCAGGCCCATTTTTGATTTTTGTTGCGATATTAGGTAAAAACAGAAGCTTTTTTCCTAGGAAAAATAAAATGGGAAATCTTTCAAAGGTGGCACACTACCTTTAAGCGTGAGAGAAGCTCGGTGCGTTTGCATAACTTCTCGCATTTCATCGTTGAAATCTGCATCACGATGAAAATATTCCATTTACTCTCGATTCGAAGCACGTACTTAACTTCAGTATGCCTATACGACATTCCGTACATTCTATAGGCAATCCAAAACACCTCAAACGCTATTTCATCAAGCAAAGTGCTCAGCGCGTTTTCCCTTTCAGGCGGAAATTACTCGGTCACACCGGTCATAACAGGCTTATACCCGTCCCCGATCTGCAATGAATCATTCACGGAGGATTTAGCGTCTTTTTGCCGCTTCCGTCAGCGGTCGCTCGGAAATCCCAGCAGTTTTCCTGCGGCGCGGGACCGTCCTGAAGTTACCCTGAATCACTAGCCAAAGCCGCCTACGACCGCAAGCGAAGGACCTGGCGATATCTGCATATACAGTAAACACAGCGGAGGGAGGGCGCAACAAACAGCGCTAAAAACTGACGGATCAGTGGGAAAAAAAAATACACGCCGGTGATCCATAAAAAATGGCAAAATTTGAGAATAAAGCAGAAATAGGTTATTAACCGCCTATCTACTGTTTTCGAAAAACCGACCAAACTAACCCAAACAGATGAAAATGAAATATGTCACCGGGAGATCTCAAGTGTATGCAACAAATGAAAAAAGACAGAAAATCCACAGGGTGACAATAAATCTGAGTATCCATGATCATAATTTCATGATGCTCATCCCCCCCCCCCCGATCCGCTATTGACCCGACTCTAAATACCCATCTCGTCCCCCCTTCCTGCCTCTCTCTAACCCTTCTTACAGCCCTTCTCCTCCCTTCCCCCAACTCCATTCGGTCCTCTCACCTCCCCCTGTCCTCCTCACCTCCAACCTGTCCTCGTGCGCCAGTCGGCAGGTGAGCTCTCCCCTCCTCACCTCCTGTCCTCCCCACTCACCTCCATCCTGTCCTCCCCTCCTCACCTCCATCCTGTCCCCCTCCTCACCTCCTGTCCTCCCCATCCTCATCCATCCTGTCCCATCCCTCCCCTCCCCACTCCATCCTGCCCCCCCCCCCTATTCTCCTCACCTCCATCCTGTCCTCGTGCGCCAGTCGGCAGGTGAGCTCTCCCAGTAGCGCCGTCACCCCCTCCTCTCCCTCCCCCCCCCCCTCCTCACCTCCATCCTGTCCTCGTGCGCCAGCCGGCAGGTGAGCTCTCCCAGCAGGGCCGGCAGCAGCAGGAAGCGCAGGGAGCCGGTCGGCAGCTCCTCAACAGACTCGTTACTGGAGAACAGCCGGCAGACGAAACCCGGCGCGTGAGCGACTCCAGGCCCGAGATCGCCGAGCGTACCGTACTCTGAGGGACGGGGGAGGGCCGAGGGGTGAGAACAGACCCAGACACGCAGCGTGAGGGACTCCAACCCGGAGATCGCCGAGCGCACCGTGCTCTGAGGGTGAGAACAGACCCGGCGTGAGGGACTCCAGGCCCGAGATGGCCGAGCGCACCGTGCTCTGAGGGACGGGGGAAGGGAGAGAACAGACCCAGACACGGAGCGGGAGGGACTCCAGGCCCGAGATGGCCGAGCGTACCGTACTCTGAGGGACAGAGAGGGCCGAGGGGTGAGAACAGACCCGGCGCGTGAGCGACTCCAAGCCGGAGATCGCCGAGCGTTCTGTACTCTGAGGGGTGAGAACAGACCCAGACCCGCCGCGAGCGACTCCAGGCCCAAGATGGCCGAGCGTTCTGTACTCTGAGGGACGGAGGGGGAGTACTCCTGCCAATATATGGTTGATTAGACTTTGACGAAAAAAGAGGGAGCTTTCAGCAAAATTATAGCTAAATACAGTAAACTGAGGTGAGAGAGATAAAGATAAAGGAGAAGTAAAAGGATTGGCCTAGGAGTTTTTGGTCATTCTGATAGTTTGCTTTCATCAACGATTATAATACTTTTGGTGAGAAGTTCTAATTTTCTGATAGCCGGACATGTAGGATGTAAGTGAAATAGAATATAAAAAAATGTAGAAATGTGACAGACAGCAAAAGAGCATAGTCTGTGCTAGGAAGTCGATTTGTATTCCGTGGACGGGAGAGACACTGGCAGCTCAGGTTTAGGTTAAGACGCATATTCCATTCTGTTTGCGCAGGGTTGGATGAGCAGCTAATGGTCCAGGAGGTACGTAAGTGACCATATGTCCTGGGTCAGAGTCAGAGCCTGTGGCCCTGGTGGCGGATACGAGTTGTAAGCCACTGCTGACCCGCAGCTCCGGGCAGGAGGAGGTACCAACCCGCAGCTCCGGGCAGGAGGAGGTACTGACCTGCAGTTCCGGGTTTGAGGAAGTACCTACTGACCCGCAGCGCCGGGTCGGAGGTACCTACTGACCCTGCAGCTCCGGGTCGGAGGAGGTACCTACCGTCCCAAGGAGGATGTACTGACCTGCAGCTCCGGGCAGGAGGTACCTACTGACCTGCAGCTCCGGGTCGGAGGAGGGCACCGAGGCGTCGCGCACCTCCTGTACCAGCTGCAGGCACCGGTCCAGCCGCTGAGACAGCGTGCTCTCCGCGTCCTGGCCGTCGTCCGAGCCAGACATCACTGCCGTCTGAGAAACGCAGGACGCAGGGTGTGATTTAGAAAAACAGTGAAATTGCTCAGGAAAAATAATAAGCAGTAGCAGTGTGTCAGAATGAACTGAGTTAGTGATCTGCATCAAATTAAATATAGCCTACAGCATTTGATAACACAAGAACCATGCAGACAAACTTTTCATAGAACAATAATGCATACTTTCATAAGAAATAAATGGTAAGGTGCACATCTATAACTGTATCAACATTTAACATGGGATAAATAAATGCATCATTAGAATTGTGGGTGTTTAGGTAAGTATGTGTGCATGTATCGGGAGGAGGATGACAAGTCCCCAAATAGGTAGATACAAGGTTTCATCTACCATAGTGGTGAACACAGACTGAACATATGTGACATTTTGAAATTTGACATCAGATACCTGGGTACAGTAAAATCACACTGTACTGAATGAAACTGTGGCATAACAAGAGGACACTACAGTTGGGGAAACAATGAGGAGAAGATCCAAAAATTGATTGGTCAATAAATAGCTTTTGATGACCATATATGGGCATAAATGCAGCCCTCGCTACTACGGAAGAAAAACGGTATAACATGCCGGGATTTGCGGTATCACGTCCACTTATCAGAGAAAGGCTTCCATTTTCCACTTCGAATTAACGCGATTTGATTAATTTTGGCGAATTCACTAGAAAATGGCGATAGGAAAAACAGCTTTTCTGCAGGTTCTGGCATAACAATCAGCTGGCCATTCCATAAATGGATTGGTGTTTTGAAAGAAAATTGTTTTAAGGTTTAATTTTATTTGAATAAATAAAGAATTTAATTTCAAAATAATCATTTAACCAAAATTGGCAAAAACCATAAAAATAATAAAAATATGACATTTTCAAACCACGTGCTGCTTACATTTTTTGGCGCGTCTGTTTCAATCCGCCATATTGCCAATCACTGTTTGACCTTGTATTGTAACTCTGCGATTTATAGCCGCCAGTGCATTGTGCACCAAGTGAGTGTAGGCCTTGTGTGGTTAAAAAACATTATTATGCCTTCTTTTTCATTTGAATGCTAGGATGCAGGAAAGATGAAGTTGTCTGATTTTATGACCATATATGGTCATCACCCCGCCCACTCCAGCCATTGATTGGCTGATCCAATTTTTGTTTGGCTCCTCGTAGTTTCCCCAACTGACTACTGTCTGAAGCTGCCCCCCCTCTTCCCGACTTTATCCCACGGGCCAAAGGGTGGGGTACATTCGGATTTCGGATATTTAAATCACCCGACCTGACATTTTTACGTCTGGTACTTTCACATTTCAAGCGAACTCATGATAAATATGAGAGCCACACAAGGGCCCAACAGGGCACTGTTATTTGCAATTTGCCAGACCTGAATAGTTATGAAGGAAATGACATCTTAAGAAAAAGTGTCAGAACTATGCCACCTTCCCTATAGGTACTTAAAATATTTCAAGCAACCCAAAACATGATGAATGCACAACGAGCCACATTTACATTTTTTTTATAAATTTAGTCCGAATGGTTGAATGGGTGGATTTGAGGAATCAGAGCCGCCTAAGCATAGCTGTGTGCTGACCTGACCCCACCACCCGATCGCGCAATTCCAGTTGTATGGCAGAATTTTGTCCGAACGTTTAACGTGCCCTCACGACTGGACACGGCCCCTCCGCTCACTCACGTTACCTGGCTTCTGTGCGGGCCCCTGCCACAGCACGCACGCCATTACACGTAGGAGCTAAATGTGGCCGCCCGCACCGGGGCTTGAACCGGGCTCTCACTACCGGTAAGCGTCGAATTCCGGCGCTTTAATCCACTCGGCCACGGAGGGGACGTATGTATGTATGTAGGGACGTACATATCATCGTGTAATAGTATCAGCAACAGTAGTTAGGTACCTATTGGTATCAATATTCAGAGCAACGGACCTCAGTTGGGGAAACTACGAGGAGCCAACAAAAATTGGATTAGCCAATCAGCGGCTGGGTGGGCGGGGCGATGACCATATATGGTCATAAAATCAGACAACTTCATCTTTTCAATGAATTTCAGCATTCAAATGAAAAATAAGGCATAATGATTTTTTTAACCACACAAGACCTACACTCACCCGTGCATAATTAACTGGCGTCTAAATCGCAGAGTTACAACGCAAGGTCAAACCGTGATTGGCAAATATGGCGATTGAAACAGACGCGCCAAGAAATGTAAGCAGTACCGTGTTTTAAAAATGCCACTATTTTTATTATTTTGGTTTATGGTTTTTCTAATTGTAGTTAAGTTATTATTTTAGAATTAAATATTTTGTTTATTGTAATTAAATTAAATCTTTTAACAATTTTCTTTCATAAAACCAATCCATTTATTGAATAGCCAGCTGATTGTGACGCCCAGACCTGCAGAAAAGCCGTTTTCCTATCGCCATTTTCGAGTCAATTCGCCGAATGTAATCAAATCACACTAATTCCTAGTGAAAACTGAAGCCTTTTCTCTCCATAAGTGGACGTGATACCGCAAGTACCGGCTTGTTATCCTTTTTCACCCTTAGTAGCGGGGGCTGCATTTATGCCCATATATGGTCATCAAAAGTCCATTTATTGACCATCCATTTTTTGACATTCGCCTCGTAGTTTCCCCAACTGACCTGTTTCTTACTTATTTTCACGATTATCCTTTGCGTCCTTTGCGTAGCAGAATCACCTTGAATGGATTGTCTGACCAATTTAGCACTTAGGATTTCCGTTCTCTAGCATTCAGCAAAGAACAAAATACCTACTAAATACCTAAGCAATAGTTTACGATTTTAAGAAACTAATCCCACATGCAACGTGCCACGCAAACGCAAGCTCGCTCGTCATTCAACATGCGCCAGAAATTTATTGCGCAAGAACTGTCGAACTACC